ATGATTTGTGTTATACTGTAATGTTTCCGACTGAAGGTCCTCGCAACCATGGTCACGAATAAATTATAGTCATGGGCGTTTTTGGATTTGAACGCAATCCGATATTTATCCGATTTCAGATTTTAAAATCGATTTCAAAATCAGTTTTTAAATATCCGATTTCAGAATCGCCAATTCGTTTACGTATTTAGATTTCGTTTTATAAGTTAACGAAACGACAAACGCAAATGTATACAGAAACAGATTAGCTCGATTATCCTTCATGCTTTAATCTAGGCTTAGGACTAGCAGAAAAGTTTTGTATGAAATTAAAACCTTTCCGGCGCATTTAAAAATCGGCATATTTACAATGATTTCTTAATATATTTTTTTGTTTTTTTTTTTTTTATAATTTTTTATTTTAGAATCTATTTGGATCAAGGTTTGCGTTTAAAAACGCAATTTGCTCCAATTTTGAAGACTTTAGACGACACCTCTTGTCATTTATAATAAGTCCCATCTTGGAAAAAAGTCGTTCGCACGGAACGGAAGTCGCAACAATATTACATTTTGTGCGATATATTTCCGACATGTGCGGATAAATTATTTTATGGTCTCGCCACCACTGCGAGGGGCTATTCCAATTACCGTCACTATTTTTTCTTGCTAGCATCTCGTCATCAATATACATTTGTAATTCACGAATTGCTCTTGCTTCTGCGCTTCCTTGTGGCTTATTTTTTTTTAACAAGTCGTCAAATTTGTCCCAGGCACTGAGATTTTGGCGGGGCTTTTCCTGAACTTCATCAGTGATTGCTTCAGAATTTGTATTTTTATTTATAATTTTTATAAGGCCTATTATTAAGCCATGGACATATCTTTTTAATTCGGTGGCCGCACTTTCGTTCTTAAAACATACAAGTTTAAATCGTGGGTCCAACAATGTACACACTCCGAAGGTCTTGCTGTGTTCTATTGCCTGAAATCTATCTCTCAATCCGTGTTTTAAACTCCGTATTACGTCAATCACAACTGGATTAAAAGATGCGAAATATTCTTCTTTATTGAGAAAACCTTCACAAATATCCTTCAAGCAGTTGGTCATGACTATGACCATACTTCCTGTGAGGTACTGATCTCCACTTACTGAAGAAGTGACCTCTTCAAATGGCTGGAGTACTTTGCATACGTCTTCCATTATGTCCCAATCCTCTGAACGTATAATGGGCCATTCTCTTTCTATAAGAGCCATGCAGTGTTTAACGGCTTCCTTTAATAATGTGAAACGGCGTCACAGTGGTAGAGCCACGCGGCAGCTTTTGCTGTCGCACGGATGGGCCGGCTCGAACCGGGGTGGTACCACGACCTCACAGAATACCAGCGTGAAGTAGAGGTTTACCTCTGCGTTTCGCTTGGTGAGTGCAGGTGGCCGGAGGCCCTTTTTACTGGAAATGAGGCATTCCATCTTAGTCCTCACGGGTGACAACGCATCTGCATTTTGATTCGCAAACGAGGATAGATGTAGATGTCTATGGGCCGCAGCAACCACTTACCATCAGGTGGACTGTGTGCTCGTTTGTCACCCTTATCCTATAAAAAAAAAAAAATGTAGAGTTCCACCTTGTAGGTACTTGTTGGATTAACCGTTTTGGTTCTCCACAATTAATCATATTTTTTAATTGGTATCTAAGAAGCATATCCGTTGCATTTGTACTGCGTTTAAAATGTGCCACTATTTTTTTTACATTTTCAATTAATTCTTCTAATGGTCTCAGAGCCCCCGACACGATTAAATTAAGGGAATGAGCATAGCAGCCATAATGCTTCCACCCTAGCTCTGTCTCTATTGCTTTGACAATATTTCGAGCATTGTCTGAAATAGCGAAATTGACTTTGTGTGTTAAATTCCATTCGTCCGTTACTCTCTTTAATTCCTTTGCTAAATTGGCACTCGTGTGAGTTTCGTTAAGACCTTTACATTCTAAAAGTATTTGTTGTGGTTCAAAGTTTTTGTCTATGTAATGCACTGTTACGCCAATATAGCTTTCAGTCTGGGACGATGTCCAACAATCAGTCGTCAAACAAACACTGCTAGCGTCTAGAGAAACTCTGGTCTTTACTTCATTTAAAGTGGTCTGGTACAATGCCGGGATCATAGCCGAAGATATATTTTTCCTACTAGGCAACGTGTATCCCGGGATATTTTTCACAAATTTTTTAAAGCCTTTGTCTTCAACAATTCGGAAAGGTTGAAAGTCTGCTATAAATAATTCTAACAAATCACGATCAACTCGTTTACTTTCTTCTGGGGACATTTTTTTAATAATATAATTTTGCATAGTTCTTTGCCGTTTTCGATTGAGAATCTGCTCTGGAATCTGGGAAGCTGTCTCTTTGTCAGCGACCGCGGCAGCTTGAATTGAGCCACCCGTATCTCTAGATGTACTCGCCAAACACTCGATAGTCCCAATTTGCTGTTTATTTCCTAAATCGGTACTCACCTTTTGCGCCAAATAAATTGAAGCGTGAGATCGTTTTAAATGAGCTCCTAGGTTACCCGATGTAGATTTATAAGATATATTTTGATTGCAATATTTACACACTGCAACTCCAGAAGCATTTTCTTTTTTGTCAAAACGAGTCCATATCTCACTTGGTTTTCGCAACATTTTGAAAATCAAACCAGTTCTCGTCTAATCAATTAAAGTCTAAATAAAAAACTTAATAGTTAAAATAAAAAATATTTAAATGTTATATAAACTTACTCACTTATATAAATACACTTACACAATTCACTTAGTTAACTAATTTTTATTTTCTTTACACTAAACTCTAAACTAATAATTAAAAATTATAAATTCTACTAAAATAATTTACTGATACGACTGACCGCCACGCATGGACTTTGCACCAAGGACAAATCTGCATCTAAACCAAAGAGTATAGTAACTGTCCTATACAGGAAAAGAGAGCCCACTCGCGCGAAATCTGTCAACCGAGGAGTACTAGCGCCGTCTGGTGTCGTTTCGCCACAATATTGTGAGAATGTGTGCGTGCGTATAACACATGCACCTCTACATATACACCTCTGTTCATGGTAATTCATTACGGTTTATGTACTAGGATTAATTATCAACAACCAACTGTGAATTAAACATTTGAAACATTTTTAAAAGATAACTGCATAGTAACTAAATGCTTCAAATGTTGAATTTAATAGTCGGTTCTTAATAATTAATCCTAATACATAAAGTGTGCTTCATAATTTGTAAATAGAAATTAAGTATAATATGTTTAAACGTGAATGAAATTAAACACAAATAATTGGTACATTATTCTATATTTTTTGAACTTAATGAAAATAAAGGAGATTGACAAAGATTTAACATAGTTTTGACAATACAACACATAAAACTAATATTTTTATTCTAATGTTTATATCATTAATATATTAATAACACAGTGTCTATACAAAAAGCGTAAATTTTATTATTTTAATAAATGAATGAGTTTATTATAATAAATGAATCATATCAAACTTTAACATTACGAAATGTTAAGCTAATATCATAAGGATAAACTTAAACGGTTATGAATCAATCCAAAGCTGTAAACACGCTTGGCAAGTGGGTTGGCAACTGCAGTTATTAGGAAGATCAGTCCACCTGCTGATGTGTTTCCCTCTGTCACCTCTTACGATAAAACCCACGGAATGATAATATGGAGTTGTGGATATTCTGAGACTGTCACTACACGGTAATCCAATATTTTTTTACAATAAATGATTCGAAACACAGCTTTATTATAACAAAATATTAAACTAATGTCTTTAACAATAAATTTTCACAAACAAAATATGAAAATAACATTTTTTAACAATAAATTATTCATAAACACAGCTTTGATATAACAAAATATTAAACTGAAAAAATATTAAATGCTTTGGCATATGGTCTGACACAACTGGTTACTGCGCCTACGCGGATTCCAGATGTGGAGGATCATACACCTTCCCTGTTGGACTTTCTGCTAACCTCTCATCCGGACGGATATTAGGTTGGCGGTCCACCACTGTGCGATTTAGAAGAAGTTTTCTCCCTCGCACAACTTCCTTGTGGAATCAATTACCACCAGCGATTTTTCTGGACCGATACGACTTAGGGACCTTCAAGAAAACAGCCTACTCCTTTTTAAAAAGCCGGCAACTAATAATCTAACTAGCGAAAAGATAAAAAGAGGGCTTGGCCTCTTGTTATTCATAACAGCTTTGACAATAGAAAATATGAAATAATATTTATTTCATTAAATAAGTGATTCATCAGAATACAGCTTCGACAATCGCCTCATAGAAGAGATATTTACCATAGTTGCATCGCTTGGCAAGCAGCTTGCCAACCGCAGCTTTTAAATTTAGTCGTTATTAGGAAGGAACTGCTGTCCATCTTCTGATTTGTTTCCCTCTGTCGCCTCTAATGACACTCACGGGATGATATGGACTGGTGGATATTCTTACTGCGCCACACACAAACTAACATTTTTACAATAAACGATTCATATAACACAGCATTCACAATACAAAGTATGAAACTAATATTTTAACAATAAATGATTCTTAACAGCTTAGACAATACAAATTATGAAATCAATATTTCTATAATAAGTTATTCTTAATAGCTTTCACAACACAAACTAAGAAAATATTTTATGAGATAACAGCTAATTCTTAACAGCTATAACAAAACTAGGCATAAAAATAATATTTTATACAATACATGATTCTCAACAGCTCTAACAAAACAAAGCATAAAAATAATATTTTTTACAGTAAAAGATTCATAAACAGTTTAGACAATACAAAATATGAAACATATTTTGACAATAAATGATTCTAAACAGCTATAACAAAACCTTCGCTGCAAATGTCATCTTTTTGGTGATCTTCTCAAATGCTACTTGATTACTCATTTATTCTGCATTTGATAGACGAGTCCTAAAATCTTTTATGGTTTTTCTAGACTTCTTTAATTAAAATTTAAGTTTTCTCGCATGGTTTTGTAACAACTTCTAATTCTTAGGGTAGTATCATATTTCGTCGGTTTATCTGAAAATGTTTAATTTATACATTAGTTTTTCCAAATTGGAATTTACAATGTAGACATTTGCAATAAATGTTGTAAAATTATATATTTTAGTATAAGATATTCAGATACTAGACTATATTTGCTTCTCAACTAAGCTACTAAAATATAAGGAATTAAATATTTGATAAGTTTGATAATTTTTTTTAAGAAAATGTTACCTCCACACTAGGATTTTCTTCTGTATCGTGGGGTCAGTTTACATACATAAAATTCACAAGGACAAACATCCAGACCTGGGATAATTATTTGTAGGCCATACAAATACTTGTTCCGTGAGGGATTCGAACTCACGGCCCTTAGCGTTGCGACTTATTGCTAAGCCACTGCACCACGGAGCCGCCAAAAACCTTTTACAAAAAAAAAATTTGTACTTATAAAATAAAAAAAATTAAATTTAATGTATGTACACAAGAACAAACATAGTTGTATGTAAAAATAGTGATGTATATTCTGTAAATACTAGAAACAAGCACAAGTTAGTTATATCCTCGAGTCCAAAGAGCGAGTAATTCCATCATGGGGCAATTAAGCCCCAGAAAATATGCAGGCCTTATCTATCAAAAAGTTTAAAATTTTTATTAATCAAAAATTGTTTAATAAAGATTTATTATGCTACTAAAGTATACATGATTGATAAATAACCCCTGGCAATGGGGTGATCACTACCATGCTGTTTCTGTTTTCATACCAACTGTATAAAACTTAAAAGAAATATACTTCAAAAAAACGTCCCACGGGGTTTCTTGCTGGTTCCCACAGGACAAAGGTTTTGTACTCTATGTGTGAAAAATGATTCTATGGTATTCTATTCTTATATACTATAACTTCATTAACATTTGTCTGTGATGTTGAAGGCTGGTCATGTGGATGCAGACGGGGCAGTAAGTCAGGAAAGGAGGTTTTGAGAAAATGGTAATACACTTAAATAGCTACGTAAAACAGTAGTTAGTACAATACTGCCCTTTCATTAAGGTTTTAATTTTTTTTATTATTTCATTGCACAATAAAGGATTTTATTGCTTTTAAAATAAGCATTTTTATATTTTTGTTAGAACATGATGAGCAGTATGCATTAAATAGTGGAGAAAAGAACAAAAATGTAGTTAACTTACATGTTTTATTTATAAAACTTTATCAGTGAGATCAAAAATCACATATTGGTTCTTATTATTTGCCATAACAATTCTTAAAAATAGAAAACTTCTCTAAAAATATACTTCTTAGCAAAACTTAAAGACTTAATTATAGAGATCAAAAATTATAATGTTTATAATTATAGTGTTATTTGGCACAAAATTATTCTCATTAACTTACAAACAACATGAAAAAGCTTTTTAACATAAAATTGTTTCAAAAGGACTTCTCCAAAAAGCACCATAATGAAAAACAATACTTAAATATAATTAAGAATCACTGATAAGTCAACTTTCAGAATCAGTGTTACCTGGAAGATTATACCAACTTATTCTGTTTCATAAACTAGCTTACATTTTATCACATTTACTGATCGTATCTATTATCATTTAATTACAGTGTTTAATTTTCTGTGCCTTATTCCTTGTTTGCTAAATTTTCAACATTATTATTAACACACAAATTTTCCCAAAAAAGTCTGCAATTAGCAGGCATTAACGGACACAGATTTTCACTGGTAAAAAACTTTACTGGACATACTCTTTGTGGCAAATTTTATACAGAAGCACAAAAGAACACATTGGGCATTGAAAATTCACTCCATAAAATCATTTAAATAAATAGCGACTCTTGCTATGAGATGAGAAAACACCAGCTTCCAAATAAAAAAATAAAAAAGAATCATCAAAATCTGTCCTCCTAAAAAACAGTTCTAAGGTAACTTTCAAAAAGTTACCTTAGAAGTTGGTTGAAAAAAGAAATATCTGACATACTGCTCTCTCGGTTACCACGGCAGTATAGGCTGTAATAAATGATATATCTAATAATTGTCTGTCTGATAACCATCAGTCAGGCTTACTCCGGAATCCAATAACAATTTCGATCCAATGTCAATTTCAGTTATTAATATTGCTGTTTTTCCAAATAATACAACAATAGCATTACTGTAATTTAAAATAAATAAGGCATCAAATTTTATCAATGTTTCCATGTTATTTTAAATTGATTTGTTTTCTTTTAATTTCTGTTGTAAAAGAAATTAATTTTTGGTTTATTATAAATATAGTTTTCACTGTTATATAAAAAAATTAATTAATAAATTTAAGAACAGATACATACTAATGATGATAGATTAATTAAAATATTTCTTTATTAAATAAATGGTTAAACATTGTATCATAGTTTTATTAATAAATCCGTATCCTTATTAAAATTACATTACCTATATCATTTTATTTTTAATACTTATAAAATTATACATTTAATGTAACTTAACATTATATTCATACTTCCTACATGAGAAATCCGCAAATAAACCCCTCAGAAATGAGAATAGACCTTTGCCCAGCAGTGGGACATATAAAGGCTGTAAATTAATTTTTTTTAGGCTAACATTGATTGCTGTGAACAATGCGGTGTTCCCAAGGACTTAATGCATGTCTTGATGGAGTGTGCCCGCAATGCTGCCTTTCAAATAGTGTAAAAATATTTTAAAGGAATTTGCTGATTGTAACATTATTTTATCCAATCCTCATTCCGATGAAACAAAATTATTGGCTAAATTATATAACATAATATTTTCCTCAGATCAGTCAATTAGATAGTACTTGTTTTCATTTTTGTTTGCTTGTTAAATTGAATGTTATTTAATTCTAAATGATGTCAAATAGAGTGACATAAGCGCATTTTGATTAAGCTCTTAAATAAAGATTTAAAAAAAAACATTGATTAACAGTACTTCATTTGTAATATGTCTTCTGAGAAGATTCTTCTCCTCGGAGGTTGCATATTTAAATTTTTATTCATGACTTAATATATAAGTCCTTAATAACAGGGGTGTCACTTCCACTATGGAAGGTATGGAGCACTCCATACCTCAAGTTTTTCAAGGTATGGAATTCCATAGCTGAATTTAGGAAATAAATCGCATATTACTACAAACCCCATATAAATAAATCGCAAGCCCTTAAACCTCAATACCCCACATCTTATAGTTCAATAAATAAGTTGAGTATATACACTGCAAACTCTTAAACCTTAATACCCCACGAGTAATGCGAACAAATTTGAAAATCGCGCCACCATTTTCCATACCTCAGATTTTTACAAAGTGACACGCCTGCTTAATAATACAATAATTAGCCCTAAAATCATCATCCCTGATAGAAAAGACTGTCTTTAAAATGCATTATTGAAGCTCATTTCGTCTTTATTTTAATTGTAATGCACAATTACGGCGTAGAATATTAAACAAAAAACCTAAACATGCCATTATTTTATCACAATGAATAAGATAATTGCAGAAAACAATTAATATGAACACTTCATAAGGTTACCGTTTTGCTATTGCCTAAATTTCAATTCCAACTCAATACAAATACAATACGCAGCTGTCAACTAACTGTCAAAACTGTGTCAAGAGTACCGATTTTGCTTACAATCGGATTGGATAAATTCTAATCTCAATAATTAGTTCACACTCACCACACAATATTAAACTAATTTAGCGATTGAGTGGCTATCAAGAGTATGAAATGTTATAATTTCAACTCCGATCGATCGGAATTGTTTTCAAGAGTAAAATTGCAGGTTTTTTTAAGGCAAAAAGGGGGCAAATGAGCATACAGTTTACCTAATAATAGGTTAGTAGTTAGTAAAGCAGTTATCAAGTTTATAAATCCGTAAGAACATTTTGTACACTTATTATATAGTATAAGATATAATATGATTTAAGTGGCCACCCCAAGTATATACTCAATTCCAAATTACCACCCTATAGACATTATAAAAAAACAGTTTTAATCATTTTCCCCCCACATACACATTCAATGAATGTGACACCTACATACAGCATCTAATTCTACCATTTAAACATATACATGTTAATTATATTGTTTTTAATTTAAAACTCACCTTCAAGATACAAAGTTGGAACAGCTGTTAAGATTATATGATGACCTGTACTTATGTAATTTAATTCAAAGTGATAATCACATATCTTTATAGTAGTGAAAATTTTCATTGGTTCTATTCTAATCTCTTTCCAACTTTCGACATCCAAATATGGAACATCTTTATAGGATGAGGAAACCAATGTATACATGCACCTGAAAATAAACGTTATATTAGTATAACAGTGTGAAATTGTAATTCCAAGTAACCTTTCCACAATTTGTTTTGATTGTTTTAAAAAGGTTGACCGCACCCGTTGAATTATCAATATGTTTAAGTGATAGGTTTTCAAACATTTCTTACCTTATTCGTCGCATCCAAAAACACAAATCTTTTTTCGTGACGACATCGTAAGAACAAAATAACAGTAATGAATGCAATGTAACAAAAATATTAATAAGAACAAAGGTTAAAAATTATTAGGTTAACAAACTAAATTTCGTGAATTCCTTCGATGCATTAGGCCGGCCACATACATACGGAATTCCGTTTCGAGATTCCGTTTCGATATTCCGATTCGGAATCCCGAACGCAGCAAGTCCATATAAAATCTATGACCCGCCACACACGTACGGTAGTTTTCCGTTCGATATTTTGCGGGCAAAACGGGATTCCGTTTGTGTGTGGCCGACCGTTCGAAATTCCGAAACGGAATCTCGAAACGGAATTCCGTATGTATATGGCGGGCCTAATGGCGCTCATAGAAAATGGCGATGTTGACAAGAGTACCTGTTGACATTTTATTAAAAATGGCGTTAAACTTTTTTCGCGAAACGTCTTAAGAGGGAGCCTGTTTCCATACATTTTAGACTTCAAATTTTTACTACCTACCAACTTTCCTCCCCCTGATCTAAACGAAAACAACATGAAAACAAAAAAATATTTCTAGTAAAGAAACACAACCAAAAACAAAAATAAATCATCACACAATGTTGCAAATATAGTCTTTAACAACTGTGTAACTAGAACGATATTGATCGCATATTTCAAAGATTCTAGTAATAGTAAGCAAAGCCCAACACGGAACCAAAATTCATTTACGCATAATATCGCAAAGCAAATATAGACTTTAAGTACTAATAACAGTAAGGATAATATTGATCTCATATTTCAATGTGCAATAGATTTCATTAACGGACAAACCAAAATCCAAATCTCAAAATTCGCGCCATCCTTTTCATTCCGCTATGTCATGTTTGGTTAGAACGAGAGAAACTGAGAAAACGGATTTCTACGCATCAGTTTGCGTTTGGATTTGGATATTGTCGATTTTGGATTTTGATTTCATTGTCGATTTGGAATTTTGGATTCGTTTGGTGGTACAGATCGCTTAGCTTAATTAGGTCGATTTTTGAAATCGGATTTTACAGTTTGGGAAATCGATACGAATGGATTTGTGTTTGAAATCGGATTTTAGATTCGTTTTGATATATCTTATCTGACGCATGCCTAATAAATTAAAAAAAAAAAAAAATGCATTATTATCGTTCAACTTCAAGGTTGCTTTTGCTTGTAGTTTTTCTTTGGATTGTATCTCCTTTTCTACGATTTTGCTAGCTTAGGACGTCGAATTAAGATTTATTTCTTCCGTTTTGTGTTGTGCAAAGTATTAGACAGTGATCCGCAGTGAAATACGAGAAAGTGACTAAAAACCGTGCTGTGCAATGGCGGATAAAGAAAATAGAAAGAAGTGCGGCAGCTCACCGGCCGTAGACAACATTAAATTATTTATTTTTCCGAAACCCGCAGTCTGCAGTAAAGAACATTTTGCGGTACGTATTTATTCACTTCAAGTTCTAACCTTAAAGAGTTAACTCTTTATCCAACTTGTAAAGGTTATTTCTCATAACCATCTATAAACAGATTATTGGTTAGTAAACCACTGAAACTACTTTGATAATATTCTTATTTAATAATAATATTTTTTGGTTTCAGCTGTACATTGTGGGCGAAATATTTCTTTCCTGCCAAAGAGTAGTATACTAGCTTTCCAGGCAAAGCTACATAATGAGCACAGAATGCTGTGTGAAAAACATTTTAATGATGGTGATTTCACTAATGCTTCCAAGAAATGTACAACCCAAAAGATGTACTTATGAAAGAGGTAGTTTATAGTACTTTATATGATGTTTTATTTTCTTTAAATATCTAAAAATGTTGACTAAACAATTTCAACAGCAGTAAACTATATTTGATTTTTAATTTCAGGTCTTAAATCAGTGCTTTCAGGCTGGGATAAATGTATCTACAACAGTCTGTGACATGGATGGAGTAAATTGGCGAGTTCTGTCTATTTTGGGTGCAAAAATTTGCAACAACCCAATTTTACATTCCACAACAAAGAAATAGTGACACTTTTTGATACACCACATTTGTTAAAGCGTTTTTGAAATTTATTTATGGAATATGACATTCAGTGCAGAACAAATATTTCATCTGGTAGTGAGATTGGAACAGGTAATTTGAAGAGTAGTTCTGCATTTCATATAAATTATTTGAAAAAGCTTGTTGTAGAATTTTACATAAAAATCTAGTCACCTAAATTAATCAACTAAAATAAATTATAAGAAATTATATAAAGAGACATTTTAAGTGGTAATTCATGGAAATAAATAGACAACCAAATATTGTTAAAATTAGTTTATGAGTTTTTACACTTTGCCAGGTGCAATGCAAGAGCTTATTTCTTAATTAAGTTTGAGAAAAATATATATAATATCAATTCATTCATGATTGTAAATTATATATAATATTATTTTTATCATTGTTTTACATAGGTAATTGAAATATTGTGATAAATATTGAATTTTATTTTCTTATTTAAACTTATCTAATGACTATAGATAGAACTAAGTTCCTGGAGAAATTTTGTCTTCCGTCTATTGTGTTATAGTATTATGCATGTTCGAGAAATGTATATACAAATACTGGTCGCGTCGGCGATGTCGCATGTATGGTGGTCACATTCCATCAGGACTGTAATACTAAGTCTACAAGACAGACATTGTAGACATTATTACGGTCCTCATCAACACCCTTTGGGTCCAGACTTATAAAAAGAAAAGTTTTGAGAAAAGGTGGTACATGCTTTCATATCTTTTTCTCATATAGGTAATTAGTGGGTAGAACATGTTGTGGAAGGGCAATTACTTGTCATTTCTATAATTTATACCTAAAACACCAATTTTTTAAGTTATGTATATTTTTTAATTTTAATTTGTATTTTGAATAAATAAATGGAAAACTGTAATTTATTGTTCTTTTATTCAGCGCTGGGATAGGCAACCCAAAAAAATATCTCAAATAACCCCCCAAAAAAAAAGAGCAACATTCAAATTTTCCTGCCACGAAAATATTGCAGGTAGGCCGACTATAGATGGAGCTAGTGGGTATATTCATTTTATTTTATATGAAGTTGGCATTCTTCTCCGTAGTAATAGTGTTCTGTGCTACGTACACCCAAGCATGGCGGACACCGAACTTGTATCGGCTATTGCGTTTGGTTTAACATACTTTTATTTGAAATACAAGCAAAATAATACAAAAACAAGGAATTTTTGGCTTTTAATTCTTTTACTGGCTTTCCCGTTAACTCGGCAAGACGACTCCAAGCTTCTGCAACTTTCTTTTTATTTTTATGATTAACGTCATTGGGGTTCCAGATAGACGATTAGCTCTGGTAATATTCCAGAAACGATACATACTCTCTTCGTTCGACCAGCCACCCATTTTAAACAAAGAACTAAACATGCGCTCGCCGCGAAATCACAATTTCTACTAAACGCGCATTTTTTTTTAAATGTATTTTCGCAGTCTTTGATGTTTTATATAGAAAAATAATTTCATAGGTCTCAAGGCCGTAAATTAGTGAATCCAACGTTCATGACATCTTTTGATACGTCTATCACGCCGCCACAAATTAAAAAAAATCTATTGATTATTTTTAGACGTGCGTTTCAGCAGGGAACTGCATTGAACTGACAAAATCGTACGAAATTTTATTCGCAGTGCGTACTAGGTGTAATTCCTATCACGGAATATAATACACCAGAATAAAAGTCACGCGGTGAAAAATCGCAGTGCGGACAGGGCCTTAGGGGTGGAATTGTTGTATCCGAATTTATATGGTACCAGCCTTGAAGTAAGCCTATTTAATACAAAAAGAAACATCATAACATAAATTAAAATTTCAAAAAATCTCCGAAACAAAAAGAGCTGATTCATGAAACTACTCATTTATGAAAGGTGTCTTATTCAAGGACACTCGATTAAGACACCTTTCAAACCAAAAAAATCTTTCAAAACTCGTTCATCCGTTCAGAAGCTATGATGCCACAAACAGACCCACAGATACATACTACAAACTTATAACACCCTATGTTTTCGTCGGGGGTTATAATAAATCTGTTAATAAACGACGAATATATCGCGTGACATACGTAAAAAAAAAGAAATCGAATTGTAAACATTCTCCAAAGGGTAACCAACGGGGTTCTATTACTAAGCCTCGGTGTCCGTCCGTCTGTCTGTCAGCGGGCTGTATCTCATGATCCGTAATATGTAGACAGTTGAAGTTTTCACAGAATGTGTATTTTTGTTGCCGCTGCAATCAAAAATAATAAATGGGGCTCCCCTACTAGAAACGTGTATTACGATGGTATGGAACTCTTCATGCGCGAGTCCGACTCACTTGGCTGGTTATTGAAGTCCGCTAAAAATTGGACCTCGTCTAAGGTAGCTTATCCTCACTGCTAAAATCGTTTTTTTTTTTAATTTAAGTAAGGGAAATGATATTATAAACTCTGTAGTGGTGGTGAACTATATCCACTACCCCATATCGTCCCATTGGTGTGGTAAGAGGCTACAGAGGGAAGCAGAATCTTTCTGAAAACAACTCAAAATAATTAAAAAAAAACTCGGTTGCCAACAACCCGTCTGTCTATCGCGGTAACTATGGCAAAATCACCCATGAGACAATCTATGGTAGAGGCCAATGTTCAGCTGTGGACTTTTACAGGCTGTAATGGATGGATCGATGGATGGGTGGATGAGATTTTTTTTTATAGGATATGGGTGACCAACGAGCACACAGTCCACCTGATGGTAAGTGGTTGTTGTGGCCCATAGACATCTACGTCTATACTCGATTACGAATCAAAATGCAGATGCGTTGTCACCCGTGAGGACTAAGTTGGAGTGCCTCGTTTCTAGTAAAAAGGATCTCCGGTTCTCTACACTCACCATACGAAACACAGCAGGGTTGAGCTGCTATTTTACCTCGTAAAAAATGAAATGTAATACGGAATGATATGTAATACGAGTTACAAACTTGTGTACAGTCTACTACATGGCAATGTTAGCCGCGACATAGAGACACCCACACTTGTCCTCGATTAATCTCTGATTACTACTGGAATGCCTCGTAATCAACAGGGTCTCCGGTTCTCGACACTCACCATACGGAACACAGTGACAGTATGCTGTCTTTTCAACCGACTTCTAAAAAGGAGGAGATTCTATATTCGACTGTATTTTTTTATGTGTGTTACCTCAGGACTTTTTTCTAGGAGAACCGATTTTGATGACTCTTTTATTTGAAAGCTGGTGCTTTTCATGTGATCCCATATGAATTTGGTCAAGACCTGACCAGTAGTTCTTGACTTATCCTTAATAATGCGTATTTAATTGATTTCAACTACATTGATGATGTTCTCATTTTATCAACAGACTTCAAAAATGGAGGAGGTCTATTCGCCTGTTTTTTTTTGTGTGTTACCTCAGAACTTTTTTCTAGGTGAACCGATTTTGATGACTATTTTTTTATTTGAAAGCTGGTGCTTCTCATGTGGTTTATTTATATTGAAGTCGGATGTACAAAATTTTTAATTTTACGTGTGTTGATGTAATTAAGGTGCACTTATGTTTGTATCATGTGTAAAAGAAAACCACTATGTCTTTGCACTTTGATTCTTTAATTGCGACTGACTTTAAAATAACAAGTTTGCGTATATATTGTAGTAGAACGAACATGCCGCCCACCAAAGAATATTTAGTTCTTTCTAAAATACAATAACTCAAATTAACTAAGTGATATAAGCCAAAAATATCATAATCAACAAACAATCTACACAATCAAATATAATTACTTATATGATAATTGATAACAAAATTAAAATCGACAACTATTGTGCTCACAGTAATGCTTTAAAATTAACTTTAACATTAAGATTTAGTGTCTATTGGCAAAGCACATAATTTTGTAACACAACGCTTTACAATGTTACTACCACTCTTAACACTATACACTCTGGTGTAACCGTCACTTCCCGGATGTTTACCCACAATACGTCCCAGACACCATTTACCAGGCGGCAGACCTTCAATCTTAACTAAAACTATATCTCCCTGTTCAAATTCGCGCTGCTGTCTCTGCCACTTCGGGCGTTGTTGTAGTCTCGTCAGATATTCCGTCTGCCAACGTCTCCAGAAATCTCCCAGCAGTTTTTGTAGGTGTTGCCATCGTGTTAAGCTTGAAATCGGGGTATCTTTCAGGTCTACAGAAGGGACTATAATAGGGGCTTGACCAATTAAAAAATGTCCAGGTGTTAATGTCTCTATAACGTCAGGATCATCTGTGTCTATTGGATTCAACGGTCGGGAATTCAGGCAAGCCTCAATTTGGCATAAAACGGTGGTCATTTCCTCGAAGGTAAGGTTTATAGATAGGACTCGCTTCAAATGGTACTTAACTGATCTGACGCCAGACTCCCACAACCCTCCGAAATTTGGGCTGTAAGGCGGGATAAAGTGCCACTGTGTGTCGTCTAATGCCAAGGTCTCAGCTATGTTCCCTTCAAAGTCCAAATCAGCTTCTCGCCAAGCTGCTTGTAGCTCTCTATCAGCACCGATGAAATTACGACCTTGGTCGCTCCACATATGAGCACATTTGCCTCTCCTGGCTACGAATCTTCTAAACGCACCGATGAAAGCTTCGGATGTCAAGTCACCAACCAGCTCAAGGTGGATGGCCTTGGTTGACATGCATATAAAGAGTGCAATGTATGCTTTTCTTGTTCTGGCTCCTCTGCCTTTATTATTCAAAACTAGAAAGGGTCCACAAAAGTCAACTCCACTATTTAAAAATGCTCGAGCTGGTGTCACTCTTTCCTTAGGTAAGTCTCCCATCATCTGTGTTCTTACTGTGGCTCCTTGTTTGGCACAGGTCAAACATTTGTGGATATGCTTCTTAACCAATCTTTTTACTTTCAGGATCCAATATTTAGATCGAAGGTAACATAATGTCAACTGGACACCACCGTGCATCGTATGGGAGTGAGCATCGGCGATAATCAATGGCGTTAAGTTGTTTTTTGTGCCCAGTATTATCGGATGTTTTTCTTCCAGCTCAGAGTGTCGAAGGCGACCGCCCACCCTGAGAATATCCACTTCGTCTAAATAGGGATTCAGACTCTTCAAATAACTGTTAGTTTTTACATGCTTGTTGTTCTGTAATCTTTGAATATCTTCCGCAAATTCTTCGCCTTGTACGAGTCTTATGCATGCTTTCAATGATCTATCCAAATCTTCTGTCTTTAGCGGTTCTGGAATTTTATTTGAATTTTTCTTGTAATTTAAAAATCTACGGGAATATGTAATTATCTTAAGCATTTCCTGTAGTGTCTCAAAATTTTCTAGTTGTTTTATTAATTTCTTTTGTTTTGTTTTTTCTTCTTCACCTTCACTAATGTTAATGTTAACTTGTATTTTAGGTCTCTTCAATTCTAAATCAGTTTCTTTAGGTTGGTTGTTAGAAAATAGGATTTCCCTTTCTAGCAACCATGTTGGTCCTGTCCACCAGAGCTTACATGATTTCAATTCTGACAGTAACATACCTCTTGATGCTATATCCGCTGGATTACTCTTTGAATCCACATGATGCCATCTATTGCAGTGTACATTCTCTACTATTTCGACCACGCGGTTCGCTACAAACAGTTTCCATTTATGTGGATCTCCTGCAAGCCAAGCAAGAACAATTGATGAGTCTGTCCAAGCAAATATTTGTGATGATGGTATTCTCATTGCTTGTGCAACTTGCTTGAGCAGACGAGCCAGCAGCAAAGCGCCGCATAATTCCAATCTAGGTAGCGAGATCGTTCTCAATGGCGCAACTCTGGTTCTGGCAGCAATCAATTTTGTTCTGATTGTTCCGTCTTCAGTTTTGATCCTAGCATACACAAGCGCTGCGTATGCTTGCATTGAAGCATCGCAAAAGCCATGAATCTGTAAGTTGTCGCTCATTTTGCTCGTTGTACCAATCCATCTATCGACTTCAATCTCGTTGACTTGTTGGAAGTCTGATCGGATAGTAAGCCATTCGTCCAGCAAATGTGAACTGATTTTGTCATCCCAGTTCAACCTTTCTAGCCACAATTTTTGAATAAGAATCTTCGTCATAACAATGCTTGGCGCTATCCAACCAAGCGGATCAAAGAGTTTCTGTATGTCGGATAAAACACTTCTCTTGGTGACAGTTGCTTGAATGGTTGGTAAGATAACTTCATATTTAAATTTATCTGTACCCATATTCCATTTGATACCCAAGGCCTTTACGGTTCCATCAATGTTGAGGTTAAAATGTGCACTCCTAGATCGATCTGCTGGTTTGATGGATTGCATGAAGTCAAGATTGTTTGAAGCCCATTTAGTCAGAGTGAAACCTCCCTTCTTTACAATCTCATCAACTTCTTTGGCTTCAGTTACAGCTTCTTCCACAGTATCGGCTCCACCCATCAAGTCGTCCATATAGAAATCTTCTTTAATTATTTGAGCTGCTTTGGGATGATTCTTACCTTCATCATCAGCGATTTGATGAAGAGTTCGAACCGCAAGGTAGGGAGCAGATGCTGTACCGAAAGTCACGCGAAGAATTCTATACTCCTTGATATCTTCGGATGCGTCTGAGCGCCAAAGAATTCGTTGATAAGTATCAGCATCTTCGGGGAACACCAATATTTGACGGTACATCTTCTGTATATCGCTCATGTAACATATGCCTTTCATTCTCCATCTTATTATTAGGTTACGAAGATCTTCTTGCAGTGGCGGACCTACGAGAAGTTCATCGTTCAAAGAGACATTATTCGACCCCTTGCAGGAAGCATCAAACACCAATCTTGTTTTCGTGGATTCTTTATCTTCACGAAGAACCGCGTGATGAGGTAAGTATACACATTTTTCTTTTTCTTTTTCTTTCTCAGGTACTTCTTCCATATGTTGTAGACGCAGATATTCTTTTATTACATTAGTGTAGTCCTCTTTTAGTTTAGGCATTTTCTTGAATCGTCTCTCTAGTTGTAGCAATCTTTTCTTTGCTATATCCCTTGTATTTCCTTGTGTACATCTCGGTCTGTCAGTATTAAACGGCAATTTCACCATATATCTCCCTTCTTCGGTCCTTTTGTGTGTTTTTGCGTATATCTTTTCACATAACTGCTCTTCTCTAGTCAATCTTCTTTTTGTATCTGTATCTACTTCCCATATTGATTTTAAAACTTCATCTATTTCTACTTGTTGGTGCATGACTAAGAACGTGTCTTGCTGCGCATTATCATCGACCTCTCCGAATAAGATCCAGCCAAGGTTTGTTTTCTGAGCGCTTGGAGTACCCGGTGGACCCTTGATTAAATCTGGTTGTAATATCTGTGCGTATTCCTTCACTCCAAGAAGTAAATCAATGGAACCTGGTGCATAGTAGCTTGGATCGGCCAGGTTCAGACCTTCTAGATGTGACCAGTGATTTGCAGCAATTGTTCTAGCGGGTATCTTCGTGGTAAGTTGCTTCGACATTACATACGCCTTAACAGGTAAGTTGAAATGAGTTGCATCTTGGGAACTTACTTGAAATTGTACCACGTGATTTACATTTGTTCTAGTAGACCCCACTCCTACGACAGTTCCTCTTGCAGGTTGTTTCTTGAGCCTTAATCTTTGAGCCGCTCTTTCGCTTATAAATGATGCCTGCGATCCTTGGTCTATGAGCGCTCGTAACACCATGGTGTAATTTTGCTCATTTCGAACGCTCACCATAGCAGTTGCTAATAATGCAATACCTTGCTTGGTAGTGTGATGTGACGCTATCATTGAATTGACTTGAATGTCTTCCCTCTCTTCTAAGTTGCAGTGTGACGCTGATTGGTGTGATGTTTCTATGGTAGTTGTAGTGATTTCTTTCCTTTCAGCTTGGTGTAGAAGAGAATGATGACGTCTATTGCATATACGACAGAACATACGGAGTCGACATTTATGAGCCGCATGTCCCGGTACTAAGCAGTTGAAGCATAAATTGTGTTTTTTCACATAATCCGCTCGTTGTGAAGGTTGCAGGTTGGTAAATTCCTTGCAGTGACATAACGTGTGGTTATCGTTGCACATAATACATTTCTTCTCCGACGACCGCGGCAGGGCTGACGTTGACGATTCAATAGATTTGTTTGATGAAGCGGTGCTAACGTGGAAAGATCGCTCTTTAATGGTCTTCTCTCGTGGGCCCGATGAAATAAGTTCTAAAGTTCGATATCTTGACTGAAGAAATTTTGTTAAGTCGCTCCACGTCGGCAAATCTTCAGATTCACTTTTATAGGCATATTCTTCCCATTCTTTATGAGACTCCTGGTCCATTTTCTGCACAACGAGAAAAATTATAATAGGATCCCAAGAATCAACACTAATAGACAAGTTCTTTAAATTATTTAAACACTCTGTCGTTGTGTCTAATAAACATTTTAATTGATTTGCTGATTGAGAGTTAATTTTCTTTTGAAGAAACAATCTTTTTAGCACTGAGTTAACAATTAAGCGTTTATTACCGTATCTTGTTTTTAACGCCTCCCAAGCCTGCGTATAATTTTTGTGAGTAACTTGAATATGTCGGATTAATGAAGCTGCTTCACCATTTACACTCGATTTTAAATAATGTAATTTTTGTGCGTCTTTGATCGTCTTATTGTTATGTATAAGTGAGGTAAACAAATCTTCAAAGGTCGGCCATTCTTCATAATTACCACTAAATGTCGGTAATTGAATTCTCGGCAGCTTTACGAGAGAAATTTCCTTTTTTATTTGTTCCATATTATGCTCGGATGCAGAGGTATTAGCCGATATTATTGGCGAATTTACGGAAATTAACATATCACGTAAATCAGCTTGTAAAACGATGTATAAATCTTCATATATGAAAAACTCTTCATTGAGAAAATAAGGTAAAACTCCCCTTTTTTCCTTCGGCGTAATCTTTAATAACTCTTGATGCGCCTGCTTAAATGTATTCCAATAATCGTCTATAGTTTTTAACCTAGTTTCAATATATCCTTTTGTAAGACGCGTCTTTGGACATTTCCTCAAGTTGGTTTGTGTTTTCTTAAGTAATGCAGCAGTATCTTCTAAAACACTAAGTAATTCCGCCGAAGAACCCATGATTTAATCCAATTATTAAAAAGTCGAGAATTATGTCTTAGCTGCGTTACGTCACTTGTTTACGAGTTGAAGCGCCCGAGATCTATTGTTCACGCGGTCGGCCGGAATTTTTACCTGCTCCTGCACTCGACCCTTTTTCGCTGATCGCTCCGGCTCGATTGCGACCATATGTTGATGTAATTAAGGTGCACTTATGTTTGTATCACGTGTAAAAGAAAACCACTATGTCTTTGCACTTTGATTCTTTAATTGCGACTGACTTTAAAATAACAAGTTTGCGTATATATTGTAGTAGAACGAACAACGTGGTCCTTCTCCGGTCTAGTCAACTCACTTCTTCTACACACTCATAATACAGCTGCAACGTGATCCTACAACGCAAAAATTTTCAAGACTTACATTCAGAAATATACTACATTCTTAATAAATTATTCATCAGCAGTTGTATTAATTGTTCATTCAAGCCGCGTATTGTGCAATTACTTCATTAGCACTCACAATGCTATTGTAACACGCCCTCGAACCCAGGACCTGTGGTCAATCGGGGGGAACGTTCAAAATAAGGACGTGTACACAGTAGCACCAAGCACTGTTTTTTAAGAGTTCCGATGCACACAAGAAGCCCTTATAATTTTGTTTCACAAACAAGGACATTGTTACAAGGAAACCGTATAATTTTGATACATGATTACACAGAATTAATTCCAAGTAGACCTTATTATTTCGTTACAAAATTATTAGCAACTAGCGATTCGCCCCGGCTTCGCAGGGGGTGATTTTTTGGATCTCGACATATGTATGTATTGCACAACCTTTTATTCTGTCTATTGATGAAAATCGCAACAAAATCCGTTGCGTAGTTTAAAAGATCTAAGCGTACAGACGGCGGGAAACGACTTGTTTTATACTTTGTATGAGATTAATAATAACCGACCAAGTGCGAGTATCGGATTCGCGCACGAAGGTTTCCGTACCATCGTAATACACGTTTATAGTAGGGGAGCCGCTTTTTATTTTTAATTTATTTTAATTTTTATTATTTGTTGTTACAGCGGCAACAGAGCTACACATTCTTTGAAAATTTCAACTGTCTACTTATAACGAATCATGAGATACAGCCCGTTGAGAGACAGATGGACGGACAGGTGAAGCTTAGTAATAGGGTTCCGTTGGTTACCCTTTGGGTACGGAACCCCAAAAAGGATCCTTTACAATTTACTTACACAATTAGAATGATAATTATAATCGTTATAATTTCATGACACAGTTACAAGGACTTATTACACGGAGCCTCAATAATTTCGTTGCACAGTTACTAGAAGCTCCTATGATTTCGTTACACAATTATTAGGTGTCTATGGGCCACAGCATCCACTTACAATTAGGTGGACTGTGTGCTCGTTTGTCACCCTTGTTGCTCGTTTTTCTTCCCTTTGTTCTAAAGATTTATCATAAACCGCCTTAATACAAAACGTGGTTTATTGATAGTCCCAGATTTAAACTATGGTCTAAGAATTATTATTAAATATATTTATATATTTATATTTATTTGCCACTATGTCTGGCGTATGTGGACTATGAGAAAGCCTTTGATTCTGTCGAAATTTGGGCGGTGCTGCAGTCCCTTCAGCGGTGCCAAGTTGACTGTCGGTATATCGAAGTGTTGAAGTGCTTGTACAGTAGGGCTACGATGGCTATCCGAGTACAGAACCAGAGTACGAAACCTATCCAATTGCAGAGAGGTGTAAGACAGGGTGACGTCATATCCCCGAAACTCTTCACCGCTGCATTGGAAGACGTTTTCAAGCTTCTGGACTGGAAAGGATACGGTATCAACATCAATGGCGAGTACATCACTCACCTTCGATTTGCCGACGATATAGTCCTTATGGCAGAATCGCTGGAGGACCTAAGCACTATGCTCAATGACCTCAATAGTGTTTCCCAACGGATAGGTCTTAAGACGAACATGGACAAAACTAAGATCATGTTTAATGTCCATGTCACACCTATGCCGATAGTTGTTGGGAACACTAAGCTCGAAGTTGTTGACGAGTATGTTTACCTGGGACAAATAGTCCGACTGGGTAAGTCCAACTTCGACCGAGAGGTCAATCGACGGATTCAACTCGGCTGGGCAGCGTTCGGGAAGCTACGACACATCTTCTCGTCAGACATACCTCAAAACCTTAAAACGAAATTGTACAACCAGTGCGTGTTGCCAGTGATGACTTACGGAACTGAGACGTGGTCCTTCACTGCTGGCCGTATGAGGAAGCTCAAGGTCGCTCAGCGAGCTATGGAGAGGGCTATGCTCGGAGTTTCTCTGCGTGATAAACTTAGGAATGAGGATATCCGCAGTAGAACCAGAGTGACCGACATAGCCCAACGGATTAGTAAGCTGAAGTGGCAGTGGGCCGGCCATATAGCTCGAAGAACCGACAACCGATGGGGAAGAAAGGTTCTCGAGTGGCAGCCTCGTACCGGTAGGCGAAGTGTAGGGCGTCCCCCCACGAGATGGAGTGACGACCTGGTAAGACATGCAGGAAGTCGATGGATGCAGGTGGCTCAGGACCGTGTTTTGTGGCATTCTTTGGGTGAGGCCTATGTTCAGCAGTGGACTTGTGAAGGGCTGTAATGATGATAATGATGATTTATTATTGAAGTGGAAACTTCTATGATGAAATTTGAAATATACCGAGTTTATACAATGCCTACTTGGTTACTGAAAATTCAGCCTTCTAGTTTTATCCACAACGAAGTTATAGGGTTGCGAAAATGGCCTGAACTGCTTCGAGAAAAGTATGGTACGGCCGTGCCGCTTTTTTGCTCGACTGACTTTTGCGGCACTGCCGAGCCCCCAGATGGCACGTTGGGCACTTTTGAGATGGAGAAAAAAAAAATATATATATATATATATATATATATATATATACTAGCTGGCCATGCAGACATTGTTCTGCCCTTTCCGACGACCCTTCCTATGAAAAAATCCTTAAATTCGCAATAAAAAAATATTGAAGGTCACTTATCGGAATAAAAAGTATCCTATCTCTCAAATTGGACCAAACTGCACACAGTGAGCAAAATTTCATTGAAATCAGTTCAATAGTTTAGGACTTCATCGCGGACAAACAATGTGACACGTAATTTTTATGTATAAAGATATTATATATCGCTGTTCCCCGAGACTTCACCCGCGTGGAATATATTGCGATTGGATTTCATGGGTTTTAATTTATTTTGTACAGTTTTTTTACAGGGGGATGAGTCGCTCGCGTCCGTAGGCTTCGACCACCTAATCCTAGGCCCACCCTACACGTGTCCCCCGGGTGGTGCTAAACGAGCGACAAAGCCGAAACGACAGACTCGGCTCCTCGCCGTATGGTAGCGGCATAAAATCTACCACCCCTTAGTTCGCACCATGAGCCAAGAAGGAAAAGAAATGGCCCCGAGTTCCCGGCGCCCCTTTAATGGGGCAGGGGTGCGAAGAATCTCCGGGAGAAAAACCGGCGACGAGGTTCGCCACCCGTCACGTCCTGTCTCCCGGGGGGGCGAAAAGTGGATTGCGGAGGCCCGTCTGGCCACGCTGAATGTATGTGGAGCAATGAATGATAAGATGGATGAAGTATGCGAAATCATGAATGATAGAGGAATAGATGTGTTATGTGTAAACGAGACGAAACAAAAGGGAAGAGATGTCACTGCACATGGCATGTATACCGCTTACTGGTCTGGAGTAGACGAGACCGAGCGAGCATGCCAAGGAGTCGGTGTCATCCTTTCAGAAAGAATGGGTCAATGTGTGAAAGAGTATGAATGTGTTAGCCCAAGGCTGCTGTGGATGCGAATGAAAGTGGGCTTAAAGAAGTTGTTTGTGCTAGGGGTGTACGCCCCAGATATGTCTAAGCCCACTTATATCCGAGAGCAGTTTTGGGACATGGTAAGGCTGGTGTTGATGAAATGTAAGGAAAATTAAAATATTATTATGTTAGGAGATTTTAATGGAAGGGTTGGGGTGAAGAGGTCTGGTTATGAAAGGATATTAGGAACGTTTGGCGATGAAAGAATAAATGAGAATGGTGAAGACCTCCTCACCGTATGTGTGGAAAAGAATCTTTTTGTGGCGAACACTTTTTTTCACCATAAGAGGATTCACATGTATACATGGGAAAGAGGGGATGATAGAAGCATGATAGATTTTATAATTGTGGATGAAAGAATGAGGAGCGCAGTGGTAGATACAAGGGTTTACCGGGGGTCCAACGTAGGGACGGATCATTACTTGGTCTTATGCCGAATTAATGGTCTGTTCAGACGTTGGCGGCATCGGACATCGGTGTCTACCACTGCGTTACAGCGTATAAGAATAGAGAGGTTACAAGATGAAGGTGTGAAAGAGAAGTATAAATGCAGATGGAGGGAAAATATAAGTGGGTTATGTATGAATGATTTAGAATTGAAGAATGTATGGAATAATATTAAGAAAGTTTTGGTGGATGCAGCCACTGAAGTATGCGGTGTAAGTAAGAGAACGAATGAAAGGAAAAGTAATACGTTGTGGTGGGATGATGAGGTACGGATGGAAGTTGAAGTAAAGAAGAGAGCATGGCTAGATTTACTAGCAACTAAAGCTGGTAATTCTGGCGGTATGAATGATGAGATTGAAAGAAAAAAGGCAGACTTTAGACGTATAAATAAGAGCGTAAAAGAAGTTGTTGAAAGGAAAAAGCAAGAAAGGATAGATAAGAATGATAGAAGGATATCTGATAACTTCCAGGCAAATATTAAAATGTTCTGGAAGCTCGTAAGAACTGCCAGGGGAAATTCAAAACAGCCTAGAATAAATGCTATACGAGACGAGAATGGCTGCATGCTGAATGATGAAGTTTCGAATTTAAAGAGATGGAAGGAATACTTTGAAAGCGTGTTTAAGAGTGAAGAGTCGTCTGGAATAAGTGAAATAGAAATTCCGGAAGAAGTGGAGAGAGGTAGGGAGA